TATACGAGAAAACGCCAAAAGCTCACTAAACTTATATTAAAATCAATTAAATATTAATTTGTGTTGAATTATATAGAATGTGTAATAAATAAAGTTTCTATTAAATTGCAACGAGACTCTTATTTCATTTCTTTACTTATTTTATGACAAGGTAGAGTATTATTTTGTAGTAGGTACAAAAGTTGTGTCACTTCTGCGTTGTAAAATCTATAGGAGCGACTTGTTGTACACTACATTGAACGATACGCGTAAGCACCATAAAATCCCTGGCGCTTATGACGTTTTGGTCGCGAGAGCGCTGCATGTTTTAATAGTTTGGTTAGACGACCTAACTATTATTTTAGCGCTCCATCGAACTTTAGTTCTAACTCTTACCAAAATGAAGCAAACTTTTGGTTTGGGATGTCTCTTCTATACGTTAGTAATATAGTTCGATGAATTAAACAGGACATTTTGGCCAAACATCATAAGTTAAAAGACTTTAGGGCGTTCTGGAAACACACTAAAAACTTTAATACAGAGTTATGTGTCCCAGCTAGCATCCAGGGTCAACATGAGCTAGTTAAGATAGCTGAATTATTTAAACATATTTTTAAGGTTCAATCTTAGATTGTGTTGACGCAGCAGGTGCTTAGTGCTGAACAAGAATTACGTGGAGAATATCACCGTATCAAAACTGAGGATATAGCTCGTGTAATAAGTGGGATGACTAGGGGTAAGTCTCCTGGTCACGACGACCTCAGCATTGAGCACTTGCAACATGCAGGTGTGCACTTGCCAAGGGTGTTAACTCTATTGTTTAACCTATGTCTAGGACTTGCGTACTTACCTGGAGAGCTTATAAAAACTATGGTTGTATCAATATTAAAAAATAAGAATAGTGATGCCTCCGTTGGGTCCAATTATCACCCAATATCTTTAGCTACCGTAGTTGCGAAGGTTCTGGACGGTTTGCTTGATCAGCAACTCAGCCAACACATTCAACTACATGAGGCTCTGTTTGGTTTCAGGCCGGGGCTTTGAACTGAAACTGCCATACTGCGACTCAATCATACTGTTCAGTATTAAACTACGAGCATAGGGTTAAGAGTTCGAAGGTATTAAACTACGTGAAAAACGCCAGTTTACGCGTGTTTCTTGGACCTGTTGAAGGCATTTGACCTGGTTTCGTACAACGTTCTATGGGATATTCATATTCATTTATTGATAAAATATAAGCTTACAGTATATACAACCAAATCGCTTATATCTATATAAGTAAGATAAAATACACAAGAATAAAAATCACCAATTATTAAATTTCCATACACAATATAAATTACAGCCACAACAGTATAATGAGATCTATTTACTATATCATAAATTAAACTTATTTACCTAAACATATACTATTCTACTATCTTACAAAGTTGTTTAAGAATATTAATACGTTTTTATACATTACGCTGGGTTTGTCAAAAAATATATCTGCGTCTGGATTGGCCCTGAGAAAACAGTTTATTAGTCTAACGGCTCTGGAAGTGGGACTATTATCTACGTGTGGGGAGCGCCACGTACGCGGACAGGAGAGGAGTCTACGCTTACGTCTACCAACACCTCGCACATAATGGTCCGGTACATAAAGATGTATGGTCTCACGAACTGCAGGATTATCTACTTTGTTACTTAACAAGAAATAATAATGCATTATATGCATAAGTTCCCGCCTACACTGTTGGGTATCCAGACCAAACCATGCCCGATACAAATGTTGACGGATATAGAAATGGGTAGTATCCATACTGGCGTTTATACAGATATCTGGCAAACTTACGTTGGATTTTTTCCACCATCATTGTATACATGATTTCTCGGGGGTTCCATACTAGGGCGTTATACTCTAGCTTACTTCGCACGTAGGCATTATACAGGAGTTTTATCACACGGACATTTTTAAACTGATGCGAAGTTCTTATTATGAAACCTAGACTTTTATTCGCTTCTTTGCACGTTTTAATAATATGTTCATGGAAATTCAATTTACTATCCATGATTAGGCCTAGATCGCGAATTGAATAGACACGTCCTAATGGAGTATCTGCTAGCTGGTATGTCGCTGTGATTGGATTGCGTGACCGAGAAAAAGTTAGAGTCTTACACTTTGAATTATAAAGGGGCAACTTGTTTTTTACACTCTATTCAACCACTGCGTCAATGTCGCGCTGTAATGCCATACAGTTCTCAGCTCCGGTCACTGCATGGAAAAGTTTTATATCATCAGCGAACATTAAACATTTTGCCCTTGAGATATTACTGGGCAGATCGTTAATCATTATTAGAAATGGAGTTGGACCGAGCGTACTACCTTGACTCACACCCGAGCGTGTGTAAAATTCTTGAGAAATATAACCTTTTAGCTTAACAAATTGCTTTCGGTCTCTAAGATAATCTGCCATAAATTTTAAAAGTGGTGTAGAGAATCCAAGCATTGCGAATTTCAATAAAAGAATATCATTATCAACAAGGTCAAACGCCTTCTTAAAATCAAAATAGGCTGCGTCGACTTGACAACTTGACTTAACCCGAGTGGTCACGTAGTCCACAAACTGTATATGATTCGTCAAAGTAGAACGTTCCGGCCGGAATCCATGTTGACAGTTATCTAGAAGCACACCTATTTGTTTATAAATGGAATTGTTTACAATGGATTCAAACACCTTGGCAAATACTGATAACACCGCGATAGGCCTGAAGTTAGTTACATCAGTGGACGAACCACTTTTAGGTACAGGAGTTACCCTGGACACTTTCCATGCATTGGGATAGAGGCATTGTTGAAGTGAGAGATTGTAGACATACAGTAATGGTTCCTCTGAAACTGCCATACAGTCCTTTATTAAAAACGAAGGTATGTTATCAGGGCCACAAGCTGCCGATGCCTTAAGACGGCGTATTGCCCATCGTAGATCTGAAGCTTTAATAATATTAATACTGACTTTAGTTACACAGTCCGCGTACATTGCATCGCGTTCCGCTGCCTCTACATTTAACAATGGAGTATCAGGTTGAAAAACTGAGCTGAAATACTGCGCGAATGCATCAATAGCTTGCTGCCCTTCTAAAATTCTATTATTATACACAAATTCCTTATTCTGTTGTCTATTCTTTCGTTTTTCTTTCACGTATTTCCAAAAATTTGAAGGTTCGCGTGCTATATCATTTTCAACTTTTATCATATAATTTATAGATGCTGTATTAATAAGTTTTTTTACTTTGGTTCTATAATATTTAAATAACGCCTTATTAAATTCCAAGCCACGACTTTTAAACATTTTTAAATTAAAATATTTCAATTTTATGTATTTTATGATTTCTTTAGTATACCATTTTGGATATATATATTTATGATTGGTAGTTAAGGCCCGGTTATTAGCAAATTACTGATATTCAAAACAATTTCATGGACTCTAAAGTTTCCAAGACCCAAAAAAAAATACATAACAAATTTAAGGATATGAGGTTCACAAATCTGCGGTTGAAAACATTATATTTCAAAATTTTTACGATAGAAAATTTATCTAAACTTTGGTTTTTGAGTTTTATTATTTCGTTTCATTTCTGAAATACCACGTAAATTACTATAAAAATTAAACTACAATATCCAAACATGTTTTTAACAAACAATTCTGCGGTTCGTTTTTTGAAATTGCTATTTACTTTTTATAAATCTAAATAATATATAATAATATAATAGAATGCAAGCTCTGCTCATGCTAGTCGCCCGCCGGGCCTTGCCGAAGTAGGTTCTGTGCAAAAATATTGCTCGCGAGTAAACTTAAGATTGAAGTTTTATATTTCAGCATATAAGTGCAGTTCATAATTGCAGAAATAATATAAGAATTGCAGAAATATGGGAAATAAAACAGCATATAAAAAATTATCAAAATTAAAAATACGAAGATTGAAAAAAACATTAATGTGAGTATGAATGAATACTATAAAATATATTTATTTTCACTTTTTAATAAAAACAAATAAATTGATAAATGCAACTTCACGTAAAAACAATAAAAACAATTGTTTTATTTTTACTTTATATGTCACAGTATAAGTATACAACAGTAAGACCACTGAATGTAGCAATTGTGACCTTTTTTTTGTTTTCAGTGCAAAAGCACCACGGACCAAGGGCATGTTTAGATCACAAGAAAAACTCAATGAAAAGTAAGTATGTTAGCGACATATTATACATTAGGTATGTGAAATAATTGATCTTCGCCACATCCTTCACATGTATTTTATAAAAACCGGTAAAAAGTACCTAAGTTAATCCTGGTCATATACTATCTGTGAACTAAATTTCATCCAATTCGGTGCAGTGGTTTTGAAGGATATTAAGTAACAAACAAACATCCAAACTTTCCGATTTATAATATTGGCGTGATTAGTGACGGTGGCGCGGACAATGGAAATTCATTGTTCGCACCTCTGTCAGCCCGCTTTATAGTTTAATAGGCTTTATAGGCCTTATAGTTTCTGATATTACTTGCTGACACGTGCTGTTTTAATAATTGGACAATGTATTTTTCAGACAACAGCCCATATCGAATTTAAAAAAAAATCATTCTGCCATACAAATTGTCCAGTCAAGTAACATATTTTGTTTGGGAGATCGATTTTTTTTTCAGATTTCGATATGGGTTTCTTTAGGAAAGTTGTTCAGTTTCACGGGTAGATGAACCCAAGGGGGTTCATCTACAATTTGAATTTATTTATTTTTCTCTGAATTTTTTTTCAGACCAACTGAAGACAATGACGATTCATACGTAATTGAGCCTGAAAAGAGCAATGAAGAGTTTCAGCATGTTCTAGGACGGCGGATCATTGATATTAATTACCTCTTGGAAGAGTTACAAAAAAAAGCTTGTCATAATGAATTGTTCCACTGTAACATGAGTAATTTTCGTCTAATGGGTGAAAAAAGAGAAGGACTTATATCCTTTTTCAAATTTGAATGCAATATGTGCAAAAATATCTGTACAATTAAATCTGAAAACACACATGATACTGAAAAAAATAATTTAAACATTGCCGCGACCACTGGCATCGTTGCTTCTGGTATTGGTTATTCTCAATTTGAAGAGCTATGTTCAGCAATAGACGTTCCAGTATTTACTCCGAATACTTACACTAAATATCAAGATCAGGTTCTTAAAAAATGGGAACAAACTGCGAGTTCTTCTATGGCAGCTGCTGCAGAAAAAGAAAAAGAAATAGCTATCGAAGAAGGCCAAACCAAGGGTGGTTTTCCCGTAATTGATGTTCTCGTTGATGGCTCCTGGTGCGCTCGATCCTATGGTTCTAATTATAAAGCATTATCTGGTACTGCAGCTATTATCGGCAGAAAAACTGGTCAAATTCTTTACATTGGGGTGAAAAATAAATACTGTCTTGTGTGTGCCCGAGCTGAAAATAACAATATTTCACCTAAGGAGCATAAATGCTTCAAAAATTACGAAGGATCGTCAACGTCTATGGAAAATGAGATTAAAGTCGAAGGATTTAAGTCTTCTATATCTTCATACGGCGTCATATATGGTAGAATAATTGGTGATGGTGACGCCTCTACTTACGCGAAAATCCTACAGGCCAGACCATATGCAGAACAAAACGTCACTGTCGAAAAAATTGAGTGCCGTAACCATATCTTGCGAAACTTTTGTAAAAGAATGCGTAATTTAATAACAGAAACAAAATACGCTTTGGCTCAACGAAAAACATTGACTAATGTAAAAATTTTAGCAATGCGGAAAGCAATTGTGAAAGCCATAAAACATCACAAAGTGTCGCAGAGTCCTCGAGATGTTTTAATATCGATGTTACACAAATATATCATCAACTCTGTGTCACATGTGTATGGTGACCATAGATTTTGCCAGGATTATTTCTGTACAAAAGAAAAAAATGATAATGAAGAACTTAAAAAAATTCAAAATTCAACCTTTATTTTTAGGATAAATGCCATTGTTTCCAGTATTGCAGCAAAATCACGAAGTTTAATTGAAGACGTGGATACCAACAATGTCGAATGCTTTAATAGTGTAATTGCAAAATTTATTGGAGGAAAACGAATCAATTTTGCTTTGAAAGGAGGTTATCAAGGTAGGTGTTCAGCGGCAGTAGTGTCATTCAACACCAAATCGGCAATATCCACAGTTCAATCGGCTTTTACTGGCAAATGTCCCGGAGGAAATGTTGTGATTGTAGAAAGAAAAAGGTCTCAAAAACGGAAGATAAACTTTGAACATCCAAAAAAGAAAAGAAGAATATTAAGGGAAATTAACAAAAAGCAACATGATTATGGTCCAGCAAGTGCAGCACCTGATATGTCTCCTCAACAGTTAGAAAAAGCTAAAGAAGAATTTATGAAAAATTTGAAGGATGTTACATGTGATAGGAATGCTATTGAAAGGGCTACCGTGTTGCAAAGGGACAGCAGTGAATGGCTTGAGTTAAGAAAAAATCTTGTTACAGCTTCAAATTTCGGCCTTATATGTAAAAGAAAGGCTAATTTTGGCACTGCTTCACTTGTTAAAAATATATTATATCCAAAGAATTTGTTAAACGTTGCCTCCATTTGCCACGGAATCGAACATGAAAGTCAAGCTCTACAACAACTGGAAAAGCAAGAAAATGTGAAAATTACGCATTGTGGACTATTTATCGATCAAACTCATCCATTTATCGGTGCAACTCCGGACGGACTGGTGGGATATGATATGCTAGTCGAGATAAAGTGTCCCATTACAGCTTCTAAAAAAAGGTCTTGAAAATTCAATTAAGGAAAACAAAATTCAAATTCTCAAATACGACAAAAAAACAGGCACGGTGACCGTAAACAAGAAAAGTAACTGGTACTACCAAATTCAGGGCCAGCTGCATGTTACGGGTAGGAAAGTTTGTTTATTAGGAATTTGGTCAGGTGACAATGAAACAATTTTTACAAAATATATTGAAAGAGATGATGAATTTTGGAAAACTATGGAGCCAAAGTTAGTACTTTTTTATAAAAATTGCTTACTCACAGAAATTGTTGACAGCAGATATGCGCGTGGGATGGCGATCCGAGATCTAAAACTGGAATGTGACTCCATGTCTGTAATTGATGTACCAGACAAAGAAAATAACAGACCTGATTTATTCAGGACTGACCATCGAACGTCTAACGAACCTGACAAAAATTTTAAAAGAATTCACCAACTCAGTATGGAAGAGTTTTAGAAATTGTTTCATAGTTGATCGATTGGTTAAGATGTAGTTTTAGATCACTATTGTAATTATTTAACTTTGAATACTTACGCATTTGTAAAACTTACATAAAATTATTAAAAAGAAATTTAATTTAATATTTTATACAAAGTTTTTTTAAATAATCGAAATCAGTAAAAAAAACTAAATACGTATAAATTTAATACATCATAAAGACGTAATTTGTAACTACTCACTGCAAACTAAAAACAGTTCAAATCATAAGAAGTGGTCCTACTGCGAACTATTTTGTACTGTGGTCTGTAGTAGCGCGGTGCCGGGATCGAGTGAGTTCATTTTTTTGGGGTGTTTGCGTTGTTTATTACGCGCGCGCTGGAGATGCGCTAAATACCTAAAGTGTCAGTATAAGAGTGCCTTAAGGATTTATTGGGAACTCGTCTACTAATGACTTTATTAAGCTTATTATATAAGATCTCTAAAGCTACATTTACGTCCTGTTGGTGCATTAGGTCCGTCCAGTCCAAGTCATTTATATCAGTGTACAAGCCACAGAGATCTGCTTTACGGAAATTCCATTCTGTGCAAAGGTTCTGACATGGTGGAAATGGTATATTTATTGCAGCTCTTGTTGGTAGTGTAAGCACGATCTCTAACGGAGGGTGATAAGCATCAATAGGTACCAATGGTTCAACTTCGAATGACACAGTACAACTTCCGGAGTCTAGATTAGTCAATACCAGATCCAAGATGCATCCATATTTATTACAAACATTATTACATTGCTGTAAGTTGCAACATTTTAAGAAATTATGGAACTGAGTTTGAACTGATTTATTACAAGACCTTAAGTTGAAATCACCAACAATCAAGAATTTACAGTCAGAATATGTGTTAATGGCATTTTCTATACAATTTAATGCATCAAGATATTGCTTGTCATTGTAGTTAGGTGGTAAATATGCAACACACACTAAGAGTTTAATATTTTTCAACGTTAAAAGAGTAAATAACAATTCTTTATCATCAGTTAAACCATCTATGTTCGTAATTCTTTTAACGGTAAAACTATTCTTTACTGCTAAGAGAACACCACCCCATCCGACGTTACCTGCACGATACTTCCTTAGCACAATATACTCGGGAGGGAACAGTTCAGAGTCATATACAGAATCGTTCAGAAAAGTTTCAGTAAGGATGACAAGATCACTTGATATTAAAGACATATTATTATGGAAAGTAACAGTTTTTGTGCGTAGACCTCTTACATTTTGATAGTACAATAGTATTTTTTTAGATCGTACTTTATTACTACGTTTATTCTTTTTTTTGCGGGCTGTTCTATACGAGAAAAAACTTAGTACTTTCTACTTGAGGATTGGTCTTTTGATGTGTGATTATTTTAGTATAACCATAGTAGTTATAGTCGATATTTATATTATCTAGTATATTTTTGTAAATATGTTGTATTCCCTTTTTATTGATTTTCCCAGTTTTAAATGAGTACATGTCAAATGAAGTTAAGAGATTGGAATCATAAAAGTATGCATAATGATTGTTTTGTAATTCCAAATACATTAATTTGTTAAATAATTCTATTTTATAATTATATATTGGTGATCCACATACGTATGTAGGAGCACATAGAATTATATTAGTATGAGAAATATGGTATAATGCTTCCCTTATGGTTTTTACTAACTCTATACAATCACATGTAGTTCTAAAATCTCTTTCGCCTATCATAATAATACAATAGTCCCACATATCGTATCCATGCAATTTTTTATCAATATTCTGGAGTAAATATTTAATATTACTATTCGGCGAGAAATAGCGGATGTAGTCAAACTGTTTATTGAACGTAGCATCAACAGCTGACAGCGTACCCCAGGATGAGCTGTTAGTCAGGATACACAATTTGGGTCTCTTACTTTTATCAATTTCTGAGATTCTGATTTTTTAAATTAATCGTGTGCTGAATTAGCGAGGATTCTTCGAATTCTTTAGCTTGGACTACCTTTTGAAGGGTTATGATTTGATTATTAAGGTCCGCTATTTCATTTTTGGCTGACTTCAGTTGCAGCTCGAGATCTTTAAGATTCTGCTCGAGGGTTAGAATGTTCCTGTTAGAGAATGCCTCTGTCTTGTTGTCACTGAATGCCCTGGGCGGTGTGGCTATTATATTTACATCTGAATATCGTGGGGAACTTCTAATTTTCTTTTTGGTGCTACAATTTGATTTACTTTTCTTTGGTGGTGTTTTAGATAGAAAAGCCTTTAATGTGTTATTTTCCTTGATAAGATTGGTCACTTGTGAACGGAGGTCGTTATTGTCTAGAATAATGTTTTCAAGTTCATTTTGTGTTGTGGCAAGGTCCATTCGTAGCTGTTCTATGATGTCTCTCATGTCCTGAATAGAGACAACTTCCGTCATTGTGTAATCCATACTTTTTGATAACAAGGTTTCATCAATAGTTAGACCATCGGAAAAAATGTCTGTAGTTTCTTTTTCTGATTCTGTGCTAGCTGGAGTAGATACTGGTGTGGTCACCTGGGCAGTATCAGAAGGTAGGATTACATTATCGCTAATATTGTGTACCAACATCTTCTTCCTCAATGTCACATTGCTCTCCTCGGTAGTTAATAAAGTTTGCACAGCTATTTTTTTATCGCATGATTTGCATTGCCCTCTGGGTGACAGGCGTGAGTGTTTATGTATGCATTGCCATTTTTTACTCTTTTCTGGATTGCCAACACAAGAAAATTCAAAATAGTTTTTGCATAAGGTGCACACAATTGTGCTTTTATAATCGACACGACTTTTACATTTATAGCATGTAACATTTAATGACCTCTTGCGGCCGCTGTTGGTATCACTTCTAATCTTAGACGACATGGTTAGTTAATAATTAATTGATTGAACGGTAATGACATCAGTTTCTCACGACGCCTGCTAGATGTCGCTGAGTGTATGCGTATGTCTAACAAAGAAACGCGCTGATTGGTCAATTCAATCGGTGGTAGTTCAAGTCGTAAGAAAAAACGATCTTTTTATTGCTTCACAACAACAAAAATATCTTTAGTGCACAGATATCAATATAAATAAGAAATAAGTATTATCACAGAGAGAAAAATACTTATTTCTTATTGTTGTTACAACTATTGTTTACTAGTAAGACGTCAATATTTTGTTTTAAGTTTGTAAATTTTGAAAACACTTACGTATTGTTCATAGCACAATTTTGTCCAAAGTTAGTTTCTGATCACATAAATAACATTCACACACAAAGGTTGCACATCAATATTTTAGCTTATAAACAGTTCACCACCATAATAACTAATCTTTAATTTTAATAGAAATAAAACTACGGAGCTGATGTAAACAAGAGCACAGTGCTGCCACCGTTCTATAAACTTAACCAGGAAACTAGCACACTCAAAGAGGTAATTAACCTCTTCAAGTATTGGTATCACAACCAAGCTAACTGTGTGAAGTGGGCTGGCTCATATTCGTAGGAGTACAGGTTAGAGTTTTCAACCTACAACTTTTCAACCTGTACATAAACGGTCTGATCGTGGAGCTCAGTGATGCCGGAGTCGGCTGCTCAATTGACGGTCATTTTGTTAATAATATAAGCTATGCCGATGACATCGTTTTGCAGAGTCCTTCGATCAGGGCCCTCGAAACGCTAGTGGGCATCTGTGAAAGGTACGCGGCGGCTCATGGTCTCAAATATTTATAATTCTAATAAGAGTGAACTACTCGTGTTTAAGGCTGGAAATAGAAAACCTAAGTCTTTTCCAGATGTTAAACTTGGAGGAGTTATACTGAGTAAAGTCACCAAATTCAAATATCTGGGACACTGGGTCGCCGAGGATCTTTCTGACAATTTAGATGTTGGACGGAAACGTAGAGCGTTGGCAGTGAGGTGTAATATGCTTGCCCGCAGGTTTGCTAGGTGTACGAATGAAGTTAAGATAACGTTATTCAAAGCTTACTCTCAGACATTCTACACCTGCAGCTTGTGGACGAAGTGTACTCGCTGAATTCTCAATGCGCTACGTGTTCAGTACAACAATAGATCCAGAATGTTGTTTGGTCTGCCACGCTTTTGCAGCGCATCGCGTATGTTTTCTGAGGCACGCGTGGACAGCTTTGCAGTAATATTACGCAAAAGATGCGTCGCGTGCGAGACAGCACCAACAGTATCCTAGCTTCCATATATGGAAGGCACGATTGCCCTGTGATGATGTATGATGATGACTGGAACACAGTGGATATGGGTTCCAAGCCCAATATGTTTAATAATAAATAATGATATTTGTGTAGTAATAATTTATGTATTTTGTGAATTTACTAACCCCTAGTTTTTAAGTTTTAAGTGTACTCACAAATGGGTGTATTTACCTTAATAATGAAATAAAATAATAATAAATAATAAAAATATAAAAGTAAATAAATTTAACATTACATTGCACATATTTCACCTAATTTAAAATAAATATTTGATACTTTATAAATACTAAGGCATTTTTAAACTGTATATGTAATGTGTTAAGG